TGCAGCTGAGCCAAGTGGGAGCTCAGCTAGAACTTTATTATTAGCCGCTTTTGACGCTAGCTGGCGCCATGTAAATACAAGTAACATATACTGACTCCTGCTCAAAAATATTAAAATGAAACTATTGCAACTTCGCGATCTCTTACGCACATTCCCATCTGAATGACAAGTGGAGAAACAAAGATAACACTTTGGAGGTGTAACTGTCAGACTTGAGGAATGAGTGACCTGGCTTAGCAGCGGCTAGCTTCGCTGTTAGCTTAGCAGGACAGTGAACTTACTGCATGTAAAACACCGATAATCTATATTTTTCCACAGTCCTACACTAACTAAGAAGCCCTTCTTACCTAAATATGCACCACGACTCGAGGTGTCTCAAGGACTTCTTGTAAAGCCGCAGCACTTTCTGCTGGTGGGTGAGATAGGCAGAGGCCATGTTAGCCGTCCCCTGTCACCTTCTCGCCGAGCAGCGCGAAGGATTCTGGGATTTTGTGGCATCTGGAAGCTAAACCCGTAAATATAAAAAAAAAGCAGCGCGAATATATTACATTTCTTTTTGGTCACGCATTAAGTGTAAATTATACAAGTGTAAATTATCTTCATACGTCGAAATGTTTTCGATATTGTCTAAAATGTTTGGATAAGATGAGAAGAGTAGCCGAAAATCTTTTTCAGTAACAGTGATCAGGTCTGTTACAGTTATTACGGTATTGCGGCATTATGGGATTGGTGAGAGCTGCATGTGTAGTTCTTTCTGGGAGAATTTCAACCATGGCACAACACAAATTCATTGGTAAGTGGCCTCTGCTTTATCGCCTGTTAAACGCTACCAGAAAAGGTAGAAGAGAGCGAGTGTCACTGGCTGCCGCTGACGGTTATAAAACGGAGCAGCCTGCATGTTTTGTTAGCATCAGTGCTAATAAGTTAGCTTCTTGAAAATGACAACACAGCAGGAACAGACTGAGTGACAGGCTCACAGCTGTGCAGGAATACAGTATACCAGGGACTTTATTTCAGGTTTACAGTAGTTCAGCTGCCATGATGGCAGCTCACAGTAGACTGATTAAAACGAATAATTGTTATTAAACTCAGTTCATGACCGGTGTAGAATTTAGGTGTTGATTATAGTTTTTTATGTTGTAGGTTAAAGACAGATAATCTGTTTTGAAAATTATCAGCACGATAATGAAGCTGTTGTAATTACTCGTTTTGTTATATGACTGTATTTCCAGTGTGTTTCTATTGTCTATAAGTAAAGTATCCATTACTGCTAAATGTGTTCAGTGTTATTGTATAATGTGACCTCAGAGCGTCTCTCGCATGATGCTGGTACCAATACTGTGATGCTTTAATTCCAAAGATACAATCAGTAACACTCTGTGAGTCAGTACATGTAGGTAAATCCTGACCTCTTGCTGTTCAGACATCGGGGTGAATCTGACAGATCCCATGTTCAGAGGACTCTACAGAGGGAAGCAGAAACATGACGGTGAGCTACTGCTTCACTCTTATTTTCACTGTGGGGCTGTTCACATGATGTTTTTCTGAGTCTCACGTTTTCCTGACAGATGACTTCAATGAGATCATTGACCGAGCTCTCAAAGTAGGAGTTGAAAAGGTATGCTGTGTCCATCACTTTGATGAAGCCTCATGTATTTTAATCATAGCCATGAGATCGCTGCAGTGTTGATTTGTTTTAAAAAGGTCATCGTGAAATTCTGGGATGATAGAGATTTTTACAGCAACAGTTTGGCTAATAGCTGTTGGAGATGTTTATGAGTGTTAATATCCTGGACAAAACCCTCATTTATTTCACTCCCTGATATGGACTGGGCGATGAGGGAAAGAAGAGAAGAACAAGAACAAAAAAAAGCCTCACCTACATTTTAAGTACACTCAACTCAACATATAAGTCGGTATACTCTATCATGCTGAGCCTCATTATATATGCTAAAGAATTGTGGTGCAAGTAGTCAGGATGCCGATGCAGATATAAAACATAATATAAACTCATAGTTACTCTTTTTTGTGTATGTTGGAAATGTGTAATTTGAAAGTTATTTGTTCTCAGTTGTAATGATTGCGTGTTTTATCTGTTGCTTCACTGCAGTTTATGATCACAGGGGGGAGCCTTGACGACAGCAGGGAAGCTCTTAAACTAGCTGAGACCAGAGGTAATAATGACAGCACGTTTAGTGCAACCAAATGATTTGTGGTCTTAAAGAATCAGCCAAACCTACCTAATGTTTCCCTCCGTGCTGGAGCGTCTCACCTTTAACAAGCCCCCTCCTTCATCACAGATGAGTTCTACTGCACGGTCGGCTGCCATCCCACCCGGTGCGGCGAGTTTGAGCAGAATGGAGAATCCCAGTATTTAACTGGGCTGAGGGAGCTGGCAGCAGCACACAGAGGAAAGGTGGTGGCCATCGGAGAGTGTGGACTGGGTGTGTGTACACGAGCACGTGTATGAATGTACATGACAGAAATAAGTCTTCATTTACACCTTATTTATTTTTCACTCTGTGGGTTACCCACTCTTAGCGTTCAACTATGAATATGTTTCTTTTCTCCTCGTTTCAGATTTTGACAGGCTGGAATTTTGCTCAAAAGAAACTCAGCTCAAGTAAGTTTGTGTGATTTTCACAAGTTTTGAAAAAAGGCCTTCTAGAAGCAAAACTTGCCACTCGGCGGCCATTTTTTAAGGCCACATTGGGAATTTTAATAGTGACTGCATCCTTTAAGTTACCAGTGAAACCTGATAGATGTGCCAAAAAGTCTAAAAGCTTTTTTTCCCCTGAAGATTTCCTTCTAATTTCCTTCTAATAAACATTATGGTTCATTTATGACTCCACAGACTTGCAGATTGTTTCCGAGTCTGAAAAGTGAAAGTACCTTTAACCTGCTTTCTTTAGAAGTCTATAAGAAAATGGCCTTTAGCTTAAATGGCCCTCGTGGACTTTTGTTTCCTGTGCCTCAATTTGCTCCTTCTGGTGTGTTGCAGATACTTTGAGAAGCAGTTTGACCTGGCGGAGGAGACCAAGCTGCCCATGTTCCTCCACTGCAGAAACTCCCATCAGGAGTTCATCGGTAGGTTTGTGAAGCAGACACCTGATCTGGTTCAGGAATTTGATTTTTATGCGAAACATTCAACTGTTTTTGTTTCCACAGACATCATGAAGAGAAATCGAGACCGATGTGTTGGAGGAGTGGTAAGGATGATATATCTAAATATCATAGACAGAGGAGGATATGCTTTCCAAATCGTGGAGATGCAAAAACAACCTGTGTAAAAGTGAATTATTTCTGTGACAGGTTACAATACTCGATGTAAACTGAACAGATTAAGGACCTAAAATGTAAAATTCTGTGAAGTTAATACTTTTGTTGGGATAAATTCACAAACAAACCTGATTTCATTCAATAAAACTAGTTTGCATATTTAAAAAGCCACTGAGTCACTATATGAATGAATCTGATCAAAATTCTTCTGCGTCATTGCTCATTTGAATTTCAGGTCCACTCGTTTGATGGAACTGCAGAAGACGCTGCTGCTCTCATTGACCTGGACCTCTATATTGGAATAAATGGATGGTGGGATAATCTGAGAAATGTTGTTCGGTTTCCTTGAACGTGACCTGAATCACACTGAGTCTCACTTCCGTATCTTTCAGTTCCTTGAAAACAGAGGCCAATATTGAAGCTATGAAGTCGATCCCCACAGAGAGGCTCATGATAGAAACAGGTGAGTCACACCGTCTGTTTATTTTAAAGCTTTTGGCAGAATGTGGCCTGAGTTTGATCACACAGTGAACCTTTAATATAAAGTTTTCTTAAAGCTCTGGAGTCATTGGTTTTATATTCTTGTTGAAGCTGTATCACCAATAAGAGGGAATATATTAGATTAAATAGGTTTGTGCTCACTTTATAGAAATGTTTTGCTGATGTTACAGCTCTTTAAATGCTACATTCATGTTATTTATGGATTTCCACCTTCCTGCTCGTTTCCAGACGCCCTGTGGTGTGGTGTGAAGAACACTCATGCCGGGTCCAAATGTGTTAAAACTACATTTCCCACAAAGAAGAAGTGGGAGGCAGGACACTGCCTGAAGGACCGGAATGAGCCCTGTCATATCATGTGAGTCACTAAAGGGAAACGCTTTATAAATCCAATGGATACAATCAGACGTCGCACTGAAGCATGAATATTGTTAAACACAATAGACCTTTAATTTTAAGATTTCACTATTTGTCTCTTGCAGACAAGTCCTGGAGGTGATGGCAGCAGTGAGGGAGGAGGATCCACTGGAGCTGGGCAACACAATCTACAACAACACTGTCAAAGTCTTCTTCAGCTCAAGCTGATAATAAATGACATCATCAGACTCACCGATGTGTCATTAATATTCTTTTATGAATCTGTTTGTGCGCCTCAGGACAAACCACTTATACTGTTATATTATTTGTGTTTACAGTCCTCTGTTAATGCACAATAAACATATTTTTTTCATAAGGAACACATCAGTTGTCGTGTTTAGAAAAACATAAATGTTAATGAGTTTATTCAAATCACACAAAAAGCTTTGATGTTTGTGATTGTTCAAGTACCCCTACAGTGCTTTTGCTTCAGATCATCAAACAAGTTTTAATATTATACAAAAGTAACCCAAGCAAATGCAGTTTTCAAATGTTAATTTATTAATATAAAACGTTATACAAAACCTAATAAACTGGCTGTGCCAACATTTGCAACAAGAGCTAAAATCAGCCGTTTTCAGTACCTGGCCATGAGTCTTTGGCCAAATGTTCTTTGCAAAATGATTTTAATTCAGTCAGCTTGTTTTAGAGTCATGCTGAAGTCCATCAAAAGCATTCTCAGAGGTTTGTGTTTTTAAGCCATGCAGGGGTGGACTTGCTGGTGTGTCACTATCATTGTGCTGCTGCATAACTTGAGCGCTCTTGAGCTTGAAAGACTTTCTGGAAGACAACAGAATTTATGATTCTATCAGTTACGGGAGTCATCCAGGTCCAGAAGCAGAAGCAGCCCCCGACCATCACATTACCGCCACCGTGTTTGACTGTTTATATGACCTTCTTTTTATGAAAAGCTGCCTTAGTTTAATGCCAGATGTAACAGTATTTGTATTTGTACCTTTCAAAAAGTTCAAGTTTTTAACTTTTGTCTTCAGTTTTCTCCGTCCATAGAATATTTTCCCACAACTTTTGTGGATCCTCGAGATGTTCGGAAATCCCAAAGTCTTTGAAATGTGTTTGTTTTTAGCTCAATAAATCAAATACGATAAGACACAACAAATATCTCAATAAGGTATAAAAACTAATCTGCAATCTAAATATAGTAAACTGAAATATATTTAATATACTTCTATAATGGTCTATTATATTAAGTCTGTGTTATGTTTTATTTATGGATGTCTGTACTAGCAAACCATCCTCTGAAAGCAAAATAACGTCTACATTAAAACGTGTAGCAAACAGGACACAGAAAAAA